TTTTTTTTTAAGATTTAATTATTTATTTGAGAGGCAGAGTTACAGAGGGAGAGGGAGGTCATCTATTAGTTCACTCCCCAAATGGCTGCAATGGCTAGAGCTGGGCCGATCTGAAGCCAGGAGCTTCTTCTGGTTTTCCCACGTGGGTGCAGGGGTCCAAGCACTTGGGGCATCTTCCACTGCTTTCTCAGACCATTAGCAGGGAGCTGGATTGGAAGTGGAGCAACCGGGACACAAACCACTGCAGGCAGAGGCTTAACCTACTACAACACAGCACCAACCCCTGGAGGGCAGTTTTACGTTCAGCCCCCAGGGTTCTCCAAAGTAGTTCTTGGCTATTAAAATGGACCATTCAATCTCCACGTGAATAATAGGTGAAGCACGGCTGGAAGGAACCCAGTTGAAAGGTCTTGCTCTTTATTCCTGTTGACTTAGGTTGGGTAGTGAGGGACCTAAGCTGTGAGGAACAGAGTGAGTGGCCACTGAGATGGAGGCTCCCAGCAGGGCTACCCAGTCCTATCCCTGGCCATGTCCACATTCCCCTCGCAAGGGACACTGGAGAGGGACCTGGGGAACAGGGCTGTTGGTCCTTGGCTTTAGTTTATGCAGAGTATTCCAAACTGAATGCAAGTGCTTAAGGTTGGGTTCCATTTTCATTAGCAAGCCCGTGTGGGATAAGAATTCAACGACTGAGATAAAAATCAAACAGCAGAACAAGATGAACATTTGAATTTCACTGGGAGTTAAGGTGTTGAATATATGATTCAATTTTTGCACCAAAATAAACTTACTTTTAACCCCATTTCACCATGAACTTTTTGAAGTATTCTCATGTATTTACATCCAAATTTTGCCAACGTGTGCCAAGGGAACAGTTGTACGTAATGAGAACTGTCAAAGAGTTATGTCGGAATTTTTCTGAATTTCATTTTACTCTATTCTTATTTTTGCTGTCAGTCTAAGTCTGCTAACTAACTGCTCTTTTTTGGGGAAAGGAAGGCTGACTTTTATTTTTTATAAGATTTTTAAAACTTATTTGAAAGGCAGAGTTACAGAGAGAGAGAGAGGTAGAGATGGAAAGAGAGAGAGATCTTCCATCTGCTGGTTCACATCCCAGGTGGTCACAATGGGCCAGGTCAAAGCCAGTGGCAAGGAGCTTCTTGTGGGTCTTCCATGTAGGTGCAGAGGCCCAAGCATTTGAGTTATCTTCCACTGCTTTTCCAGGCCATCAGCAGAGAGCTGGATCAGAAGTGGAACAGCTGGGATGTGAACCAGTGCCCATACGTGATGGCAGTGCTGCAGGCAGTGGCTTTATCCGTTACACTACAGCACCGGCCTCCAAGAGGCTGTCTTTTATCCTGAGTTATTTCCCTTACTTTTTGATGGTAAGTGATTTATTTCTTAGGAAATTCTGTTGTTAGTATATGATAGTAGATTGATGTCCTCACTTTGCAGAAGAAATGTCATAAAAGTTTGCCATTTCTTGCCCCTACCTTGTTTATTTTTGGAAAGCTTGTGGGAGCATACATTCTCAAGCTTGGAGAAGTATAGCCTCAAAGATCACTTGGTTCACCACTTTATTTTGCAGAAGTGGAAACTAGCCCAGACAATGGAAGGGCTTGCATAAGGCCACATGGAAAAGCCAGAAACAATACTGAACCAATCCTGTCAACTTCTTCCCATCATTTCAAGCTACTAAAAGCACTTTATCACCAAGAGCACAGGATTTTGCACATGTGTGATTTACTATCAGGGTGTGATGCATAATATTATTGTTATTGTGTTGATTTATGGAAATCAACACTGAATGGAAAGGAGTAATGGTCACATGTGGTAAGTGCCACATCTCTTCTCACCTGTGAGGGTATTACCCTGTAAATAACACACTGGAAATAGACTTGGAGGAGTTATTTATGTGGAAACTGTAGCAATTCAGAAATTAAGAGGAGCCCAGGCCAGCGCTGCGGCTCACTTGGCTAATCCTCCGCCTGCGGCGCTGGCACCCCAGGTTCTAGTCCCAGTTGGGGCACCGGATTCTGTCCCGGTTGCTCCTCTTCCAGTCCAGCTCTCTGCTGTGGCCCGGAGGGCAGCGGAGGATGGCCCAAGTGCTTGGGTCCCTGCACCCTCATGGGAGACCAGAAGGATCTGGCTTCGGATCGGCGCAGCATGCCGGCCGTAGAGGCCATTTGGGGGGTGAACCAACGGAAAGGGCGACATTTCTCTCTGTCTCTCTCTCTCACTGTCTAAATCTGCCTGTCAAAAAAAAAAAAAAAAAAAAAAAAAGAAAGAAAGAAAGAAAGAGGAGCCCAGAACCTACTTATGAAATCCCTGGGGTTCAAGAGGGAATTCCCACAGTCAAATCCAAGTTGTTACCAAACGAACCCCTGGCTCTACATCAGTTTGCAGTTTGGACCTATCTAAGGCAATGTTTGGATAAATGTTGGGCATATCTCGTTAGCAATGAGCAGGCGACAATGTGGGAGATGGGTGGGGAACTGGGACATGTTGAAACAAGTCAGATGTCTAGGTTGAATGATCAGGTGGGATGTGGAGTGGGTCCAACAATCCCTTAAACCATCTATTTTACAAAACAATGTTGGATGCACAGGGCAACTTCAAGTCTTCCAAGTGCAGGTCTGGCATTATCTACCTCCTTATCATGGTCCATTATTTCACTGCCTGTTTCTTCCTTTATGAACTATTTGAAATTAAAAATATGGCAATCAGCCATGGGCATATCTAGTTGTTAAGACTACCACATCCCAGAGGCAGGGCTCATAACTCAATTAAGTGGGTTCCTACCACCTATGCGAGACCTGGGTTGAATTCCTACCTCCCTACTTTGGCTCAGCCTGGGCTGGGGCCATAGCAATTTGGGGAGTAAACCATTGGATGGAAGCTCTCTGTTTCTCTCCTTGCCACTAAAAAAGAAAGAGAGAAAGAAGGAAGGAAGGAAGGAAGGAAGGAAGGAAGGAAAGAAAAGAAAAGAAAAGAAAGAATGAAAGATAGATATAGATGGCAATCTATATCTATACGTTTCAAATGTATATAGCATTTGACTTCCAGAAGCAAACACAAGCTTAACTACAAACTGTAAATCATTTGGTACTTCCAGAGAGACAACCTTTTGAGCTTTACAGCCTCAGTAATTCGGGGCTCCCCATCACCAGGACATAGATACCACCCTCTTGTAAAACTTAGGCAGTTTATTTCCCAATGCATGCAAAGCTTTCCTGAGCGTTTGCACAGAGAGAATAGATGACGACAGCCAACAGTCAACACAAAAAAACCCATATTTTTCTTTCCTTTAATTTCATTGTATTTGAAAGGGGAGAGAGAGAGAGAGAAGTCTTTCATCTGCTGGTTCACTCCCCCAATGTCTGCAACAACCAGAGCTGGGCCAAGCTGAAGTCAATTCAATCTGGGTCTCCCACGTGGGTGGCAGAAACCTACATACACGAACCACCATTTTCTGATTCCCTGGGTTCACATTATCAGGAAGCTGGATGGGAAGTGGAGGAGCTGGGACTTGAACCAGGTAATCTGATACTGGATACAGGTGAACCAAGTGGCAATTTAACTGCTGTGACAAACATCTGCCCCTTTATACATAACATTATTTGAGAGGCAAAGAAACACACACACACACACACACACACACAGACACTACACTCCCATTCACCAGCTCATTTCCCAAATGCCTCAGTGGCATGGCCTGGCCTAGAAACTCAAGTCTCCCCTGTGAGTGGTAGGGACCCAATCACTAGAACCATTATTTGCAGCCTCAGGGGGTGCAAACAAGCAGGAAGCTGGAACTGGGGGCAGAGCTAGGACTCAAACCCAGCCTCCCATACGGGGCCTCTCAACAAATGTCTCAACCATGAGGCCGGATGGCTGCCTCTCAAATGTTGTTGAGTCTTTTTTTTCATAATTGGTGTTTATGTTTAATGCATTTTACTAGTAAACATGGTACATTTTTTAGTCTAAACTGCAGAATATTTCCTGGAGGAGGGGGAAGGTGTGCTGAATCAGCATACTGTAAGGGAAGACAGCAATTGCCTGCCACAAACAGTTTGCAAGATGACAACATGAGAACAAAATGTGCTTTCAAATGCATCAAAAGGGAGCCGGGCAGTTTTGAAAGGGTGAAATGTTTTCATGACTTCTCATTGATTGTATTCAACAGATATTTTGATTATCTTCCAAGAGACAGGCAGCCTCTTCCTACTTGTTCAAGGTTTGCTTCCTTTTGGTAAACAGAAATTTCCCAAGGCTGGAGTTCCTGCAAACGTAATCCAGGCCCCTTTCCCATTCAACTCTCCATTTTGAAAAACCAACCTCTCGTAGAAACACTGAAAGCTCATTGCTATACAGCCTTACGTAAATACTTTTTCTTTTCAATTGTTGTTTCCCCAAATATTTAACCAGCGTAGAAGGCTGACTAGGCTATGGTGAATTTGTGCACACAGCCCTAGCCTCCTGGGAGATTTAATCTGCTAGATCAGAGGTCACTTTTTTTTTTTTTTTTTTTTCCTGTAAAGTGTCAGATAGTAACCGTCTTGGACTTCGCAGGCAGCTACTCAAGCCTTCGGTCCTTAGTGAAGGCAGCGCAGACAATCCATATACAAACGGACCATGACCGCCTGCTAACGAACCTTTATGGGCCGCTGCATCTAAATCTCACCAAATTTTCACGTGCTACGAAATACTGTTGGTTTCTCTTCAGCCATTAAAAAAGCGTAGGAAACACACTCAGGCAATAGTGGGCCTGAGGACGTCAAAACCTTTCTGTGCGACCCTGCGAACGCTCCGCACTCCCTGTGCGGTCCCGTGCGGGGAGCGCGCCCATTTCCCGGATTCGCACGGGACGCTAAGCCCCACGCCGTCAGGAGCACGCGTCCTCCTCTCCAGCTCCGGGAGGCCAGAGTCCCACGCAGACCCACTCTGCAACGACCCCCAGGCCCCGCGAGGCGGTGCAGCGGGGAAAGGCCGGCACTCACCTGGCTCCGGCTCGCGTCTCCCGCGGCAGCGCTGCAGAGGCGACGGACAAGTGCGCGCCTGGCGCTGACCCGCCACTCCCCACCGCCTTCCCCCGCGCTCCGCCCAGGTAGGAAGCAGGCCAGGTAGGGGCGGCCCCCGAAGGCGCCCCTGCCCACCCGGGTCCGACGCTGCGGCCAGCTGCAGTCCGCGACGGGGCGGGACTGAGGCGGGGCTCCGGGGAGCGTGGCCTCGCGCGCGCTCCCGCAAGGCTCCGGCCCCCTTCCGTCGCGGGTGCGCGCGGCCAGACCTGCCCTGGCGCGTGTCTGCAGCGCCCTCGCCCGGTCGCTGCTGGTCCCGCCGCCGTGCGCGCCGCCCCGCGCTCCGAGCCGCGGCGAAGCTGCCACCCTGGGAGCCAATTAGCGCGCGGCGAGCCGGCGGCCACTTCCTCGTCGGCCCGGCGCGCGCCCGGGAGGGCTCCGGCCGCGGGCGGGGCGGGGCGGGCCGGGGCGGAGCGCTGGGCCCGGCCGCTCTGACCGCGTCCGTTCCTCGCGCAGCCGAGTCTGGGCGCAGGTCCTTGGAGGCGCTGGGTCTGCCAATCACACAAAAAGAAACTTTGGGGGCGTCCGCAGTGCAGGCTGACTGGGCGACCGGTTGGCTTTTCTCGTTGGGGTCTTTGGGAGTCACCGCTCCAGGAAGCGAGATGTCGAAGCCGCCTCCCAAACCAGTCAAACCAGGTAAGGCAGGCGCTCGCCGGGTCCTCCGGCCGCCTCGGTGCCCTGCGCTTCCTGTGCCACTTGGCAAGGCGGACCGGGCGCGTTCCGGCCCCGAGCCTCGCTTTCCCAGTCAGACTCCCCACCGCCGGGGTCCTTAGCTTTGCTGGATCACTTTTGGAGAGCAAAAGGATTTCGAGGATCTTAAAAAAAGAAAAAAAAAACTTGTTAAAGAGGCGTCGCGCTGGGGTTTGCAACGTTGTCATGCGCTCCACCTTCTCGGGAGTGCGATGGCCAAGTCCCGTCGAAGCTGTCCAGGGAGCCAGGGCCGTCGATCGCCTTAGAAAACGGAAAACAGTGTGGCTGGGAAGGCTCCTTCGCCACTTCCTCTTTCTCGGTGCGTGTCACTGTCAAACTCCAGTTCTTGACCGGCCGGGGCGAACGGGAAGTGCGCGGCCCGCAGGGTGGGGTGATGAGCCGGCCGCCTGCGGGGCTCGGGAGCCTGGCGACGCTGGGTGGGGACCCCGGGGTCTGCGGAGGGGCGTCCGTGGGTCCCTCCGGGCTGCGGCACGGTCACCTCGGCCGTGGCTTTTCGCAGGTGCCGCGGTGGCGCGCAGCCGCGTCCTCTGCCTCGGCCTCTCCAGGGGCTTGGGCGTGACGCTCGCCAACTCCTCCAAGCAGTTTTCTTGGCCGATAGTTCTTGTTCGTTTTTGACTCTCAAAGTATTCTCTGCGTTAGAGAGAAGCGAGAGCGTTTAAAAGGGGCTGACATTTCAATTCAGCACCGTTAACACACTCTTAGGGACAGCTGAGTGTGTATTAAGGGAAAGGTAGGAAAAGGTAGATAAATGACCCGAAAGACTCTCAATATTTTTTTCTTCCAGTCTTGTAATTTCGGAATAGCAAAGGCTGAAACTTAATCTGTTTACGTCAGGTTTTGAAGTGACTTCAGTAGCAAGAGGTAGTCGCGTGGGTTCATTATATTCCCTTGACCTTCCTAAATGTTGGGTAAGCTCTACAGCTTTAGTGATTGTGCGGTTGTCTTTCTTTTGAGATCATTCAGTGGCGGGCTCAGGTTCCTGTACTTCAGAACAGTCACCTTTGTGCAATAGTCAGTCCATGAAGGTTTCCAGTTTGGTCAGCTGGGTGTGAAGGCAGCTGCTGAGTCTTGCCACGCGGGGAGCAAAAGATGGGGCAAAGCTCTGCTTTGCTTGTGGAATCTGACGAGGCATTTACATGTGAAGTATGTATGCACGAGATGTCAGCTTTCTAAACCCAGATGTAAATCAGGACCTCTAGTGTCCAACAAAGCAGAGTCGGTTTTTGATTGCTAAGCAGAGTGCTTTAAAGAGTGTTCTGAGAAGCAGTTCATCTCTCCAGACGTAAGTGATGCCTGTGTTGCATCTGGAGGGCAGCGATAGGAGTGTGTGTGTGTGTGTGTGTGTGTGTGTGCTGCCGCTGAGTGTGTGCTTGCTTGTGTATTCATGCATGCTTGGGTGTGGCTTACGGAATCATCCTGTAACTAGTTGAGTGCTCACTCCTGGGAACCATTTTTGTTGTATGATTTGAAAGGCAGATTGATACAGAGGGAGAAACTGAAAGAGAGGGAGAAAGGGAGAGAGGGAGGGGGAAAGAGAGAGAGAGAGAGAGATCGATTTTCCATTCTCTGGTTCACTCTTCAAATGGTCTCAACAAGCAGGGATGGGCCAGACAGAACCTAAGAACCAGGAACTCCATCCTGATCTCTTCACGTGGGTAGCAGGGGACCAGGTACTTGGGCCGCCTTCCACTGCTTTCCCAGGAGTATTAACAGGGAGCTGGGTTGGAAGTGGAGCAGTGGTGCTGCGGTACTCAGATAGAGGATCCCTGTATTGCAAGTATGGCTTAACCCACTGAACCACAATGCCTACCCCTCCCTTCCTCCTGAGTAACTCAGAAAGCGCATAGTTAAATATGACTGCTGTTGTAGAGAACTTTGACTTCACAGTAAGTTGTCAATGAGATCCAAACACAAATACAGACATTATAGAAATCAGTTTTTTTTTTTTTTTGGGGGGGGGTGGCGCTGTGCTATAGTGGGTAAAGCCTCTGCCTGCAACGCTTGAACCCCATATGCACACTGATTCAAGTCCTGGCTGCTCCACTTCTGATCCAGCTCCCTGCTAATGCTCCTGGGAAAGCAGCGGAGGATGTTCCAAGTGGTTGACTCCCTGTGCTCAAGTGGGAGACCTGGATGAAGCTCCTGGCTCCTGGCTTCCTGCCTGGCCCAGCCCTGGCTGTTGCAGCCATTTAGGGTATGAACCAGCAGATGGAAGATTTCTCTGTGTCTCTCCTTGTCTCTTTCAGTAACTCTGCCTTTCAAATAAATAAATGAAAACAACCTTAAAAAATCAGTTTTTTTGCATTATAATTTACGCTGAGAAATATTAGTGTCAGTCAGACTTGAAATTTTGTATTGGCTTAATTGCAAACAGAAGTGTCCCAACTTTTACGTGTATTAATTCACTTATTTTTCCCAACAACCATGTGAGATCTGCATTGTTTCTGTACACATTGCACAGGTGACAAGATGAAGACAAGACACAGAAGTGTTGATTGACTTGCTGAAAGTCAAATTCTGGGCAAAGAGGTAGCCAGTAGGATTAGAACTCAGAGTGAATTTAAACACTATGTTATTTTGCTTTAGGCATGGTGTACCATTCACATGAGTGGTCATGTGTTTGTTGGAGCTGGTGGGCAGGAAGTGAAAAGGAAGGGACAACTGGTCTTCAGTCAGACTTCCTTGTGACACTGCAGAGAAAGGTCACCCCCTGGGTGGTAGCAGCAAGGAGAATGGCTCTGAACTTGAGCTAAGGATGGACCAAAGGGTATTGGATAAGCTTTGGACCCTTGAATCATCTTATTCTAAGAAGGCTTGATACCAATCCATTACATTTGGAACCCTGATGTCTGACCTTGGCTATTTCTTTCAAATGGCGTATTGATTTTGGTGGTGGAAGTAAAGCAACATAAATATTTCATGTGTCTTGTGAAAATAAATTCCTGTGACTTTGAAGAAGCAAATGTCAGTGTTTTGAGTTCTTTCGTTAGTCGTGGTAAAAACATCATAAAACTTCAAAGGCATCGCACATATGCTGCTTTAGTAACACTTTGGGGAGGAAAAAGTCTTCCTCTAAAATAACTTGAACTTCTATGTAAACTTAACCCTTTGGATAAATGAATTAATCAAAGGTCAGAGTATGGGGTTGGCTTTGAAATATGCACATGCCTTAACTCTGAAACCATCTTGAAAATTCCAGAATGTTAATTATCATGTTGATTGCTAAATTTATTTGGCCAGGTGTCAGACATTGCAATGCTTTATCTCCTTCAGTTATTCTGACTTCCGGAATGGGTCCTTATAGCCTTTTTTTCTGGAAGGAATATTACTTTGTGAGGTTGAAAGGCTCCAAGCTAGTTAGTGGTTGGTGTGACCTGGGGGTGGAATACATGCTGTAACATGAGGCTGTGCACTTGGCAGAGAAGCGTGTGAGAGATTCTGCTGGATTGGGTCTACTTTTGTTGGGCAGCCCCCTTTATTAACTTCTGCAGTTCAAGGTTATTGGCACTTGCCGTGTGTCACTGTTCTTTTTCACTAGGTCTGTATTAGACTATACTTTTTGGCAGTAGAGCAGTGTTTGATCTTTTGTAACTGCTTTGTTTGATTCTTTGTAACTGTTTATGAATGGCAGAAGCATAAGAAGTCTTGATAATGTAATAAAGTCTTTGGAAGAAGGTTGGGGAAGACTGTGCATGGGCTCTTGTAGCTTCACTAGGAAGTTGCAAAAGCTGGAGGCTGAGTTCCTCTCCTCAGCACTGTGGAAACAGTGGGGTCCCCTGTCCCTCATGTTTCCCACATTCCCACCACTTGGCCTCTTTGTGGCTAATGCAGTGAGATTTTCTGATGCAGACTCATTGAAAACCTTTGCCCCAGTTGTCCTCACTTGCTTGATGCGCAGGGCAAGGCAATTAAAAAAGCAGACAACTTGGAGCAGGCTAATGTGAATGAACTGTCAGGTCAGGATTCTCTATCAAACACATAAAAGGAGTTCGGAAAACAATTGTAAATCTTAGTTCCAAAGGAAACTCATAGTTCATGTAAAGAGTTGAGTGGTATCCACTTATACTTCTTTAACCAGAAGCCTATTAATGTGCATTTAGATGGTTCCCATCTTTTGTGGCAACAATTTTTCAGCAGCCTTGTTGTTTATCCATGCAGATCCAGAGGATCAGGTTCTGGCATTGGGATTGAGTGTACGTGGTTTGTGTACTGTCATTTTCACAGACATCTCCAAATTGCTCTTCCAAAAGGCATACCAACTTCCCTTCCTACCAGCAGCATGTGAGTGTGCCTTATACAGAAAAAGTGTAATGAATTTCACTGGCGGTATTATCCAGGTGTGACTGGAAGAGTGGAAAGTATAGGGCAACAAGCTGGAGGAAGCCGACGAGGAGTTCCCAGAAGTGGGGAATTGAAGCAGGGTCTTGAATGCTGAGTAAGAATCTGCTGGGCAGCAAAGGGAGAACAATCATTTGACCCAGGCAGAAATGAAATAACATATCCTCCAGTCCACATTTGACTCACTGTGTAGGTGCTGAGCTTTTTGCAGAGAGCCAGGGAAATGTGGTGCGCCCACATGGAACTGCCAACTGGACAATTTCTTTTCTGAGTTAAAAAATTGTTTTTATGAGAGGCAAGCAGAAAAGAGAGTGTGAGATTTTTCCATCTGCTGGTTCACTCACTAAATGCCTGCACAGCTAGGGCTGGGTTGGGTCAAAGCCAGGAGCATAAAACTCTCTATGTGGATGGTAAGGACCCAAGTACTTGAGCCACACCTGCTGCCTCTCAGGGTGTACAGCAGCAAGAAGCTAGAATAGCTAGGCCTGGACCTTTTTTTTTTTTTTTTTTTTTTTTTTTTTTTTTTTTTTTTTACAGGTAGAATTATAGACAGTGAGAGTAGACAGTGAGAGAGAGACAGAGAGAAAGGTCTTCCTTCCGTTGGTTCACTCCCCTAATGGCCGCTACTGCTGGAGCTGTGCTGATCCAAAGCCAGGAGCCAGGTGCTTCCTCCCTGTCTCCCATGCGGGTGCAGGGACCCAAGCACTTGAGGCCTGGATCTTAAGTACCCCAGTGTGGGGATGTGGGTGCCCCAAGCAGTGTCTTAGTCTTTTTTTTTAAAGCTAGTTTTTTTTTTTAAGATTTATTTCTTTATTTATTTGAAAGGCAG